AGTGTGGAATTATTCTTCCAGATATAGACACGCTACAGATACATGTGATGGACTGTATCATCTAATCAGTGTCAGCAAAGATGCTCTTAAACGGGACCTGCACTTTCTGAGCAGACGTGTTCATTTCCATTCACTACTAGAAAGCTTGATTCGTCAGGATTTAACTTCCCTTTTCTATTGATTTCAATGGGGATTGCCAGGTTTTAGTTCTATGTAAAAGAAATATAGCTGGGGAAGAATGGCTTTTTAAACCGCTGATTATCCGATGTCTTACTCATAGGCTGAAATATAGGAAGCTAACATTGTAAGAGCTTGAGCTGAAATAATTAAAAGACCAATAATGCTGGGAAATTGTATCATTTTGATACTTGAAATGATGTGTTTGCCAGCATTATTTGCATTCATAAATAAGATTGCATATGTTTTGCAGTTTGCAAGTGTATCTATGTGCCTGCCTAATCTCAGGGAGGTCAACTGAGAAGATGATGTTCTCCCATATCAACTTGGGAAGGGATTGGGTGTTGCAAGATCTTCCTCCTTAAGAAGAATGATGGATCAAAGTACTGAAGAACCTGCTTCTTGAATTCAGCTATTTTAAAGTTCTCTTTACAAATAAGTAACTCTTGTAGGAAGTGTGTTATTTTATGCTGAAATGCGGTTGCACTTATTCTAGAAAAGCCACTGCACATGCCCCAGATTTTTCAAGGTGGAAGTTTTCTCCGTCATTTGGGTTCTCACTGATGTTTCAGAATATAGGTGCAATAATATCAAGAACTCAAAATTTAGTGTTGATTCCACTTTTGGCTCATTTCTAATTATGAACATATAATTGATTTAATGTATTTTTGTGACAGAACACTTGAAACAGAAGATATATACTTTACCAAAAGATACTAATGATGTCAAGTTCTGAGTGGCATATGGACTCTATGCTGTAACCAAAAGATTAAAATAAATAGTTCTAAAACAGCCCTCTGGCTGCTATATTGCTTTGCCCTCTTAAAAGAGACTTTAGAGAGAGAGAGAGATTGTGTTTTTAATTACCTGGACTAATTATGCTTGAAAAAGAAAACATAATGACTAAAGTTAATTGAGTTGTTACTATTACAAAAAATAAAAATGTCAAAGTACTATCATATTTCTTTTGTATTTGAGTGTCAGATGCAACTATTGGCAATTTGTTCTTTGGAAAGTATATTTTCAAAAGAAGTTCGTCTTTCAAATATATTTTTCTTGTATCATGCTCAAATAAGAGCATAATTAAGCATTTTGAATGCAGCAAAATCAAGGCAATGTGCTTTTATTTAAAATAATGCATTAATTGAAGGCTACAGGCATGCCAGAAGTTCTTTTTTTACATACCATATATTCTGGCATATAAGACTACTTTTTAACCCAAGAAAATCTTCTCAAAAGTCAGTGGTCATCTTATACGCGGGAGTCGTCTTATACGTGGGAGTAATCTTATACGCTGGAGTAGCCTTATGCGTGGGAGTCATCTTATATGCAGGAGTAGTCTTATACACTGGGAGTTATCTTATTGAGCGGGTGCTGAAACTTCCAATCCAGATTGGAGGATCTGTGGTTGCTGCATATTGTGGGGGGAGCTCAAAAATGGCAGACGCGACGTCCCTGCCGTATGCAGCGACTGTGTGAAAGCATTAAGGGCGACGCTGTACAAGTATGGTAGAAGAAAATCCAGTCATCAGGATTCGTGGACTTGATGTGGCCCTGATGCAGTTCTCTGAAGTGGTTTTCCTCAAGAAAAGCAATGCTTCATATTTTCTCGCATGTTTTGAGGTTTAATTCCATTTTAAGACTGCAGCCCACCCCCCACCCCCATCTATATAAATAAAAATGTAATGTTTGTTTGTAGGATTAACATAACTCAAAAACCACTGGACAAATTGACACCCAATTTGGACACAAGACGCCTATCATAAAAACACTGAAAAACACAGCAGAAGAGACTTAAAAAGACAAAATACAAAAATCGTATTACACCGCATGCGCAAAACCACATATATGCACAAATACACATATACAAAAATATACACACATACACACAAAAAACATATACACAGACTGGGCCACTGCAATGCGTGGCAGGGGACAGCTAGTATGCATATAATAATAATAATAAACTTTATTTATACCCCGCCACCATCTCCCCAAAGGGGACTCGGGGCGGCTTACATGAGGCCAAGCCCAGAAATGCATTACAATACAGTAACAAAAAACACAAGGCAATATCATAATAAAATAAAATAAGACAAGCATAAAATATATGTGTGTGTGTGCAGGGCCGTAGCCAGAAATAAAATTTCGGGGAGGGGTTGAAAATGTCGGGGGGGGGGGGGGAAACCTGCCTCCTAGCTCACGCTGAAGCAAAGAGCACAGCAGGGGGCAGAGCAGCCTTCAATAGCCTGCAGCTCCGCCCCTGTCAACCACCTCCACCAAGTCTGGCCTCCTTAATGAGAGCATTCAACACCCCCCCCCCCCCCCCAAACTTGGTTGCTTCGCTACATCGGCTATTGCTGCAAGTAATGACAGTGTGAATAAATTGTCAATATTTGCTTGAGATAGTGCTTGCAGTTCTGGAGGGACTCTTAATTTTTTGCGTCTCATAGACTTAGCATGGGGATTTGGTTAACTAGTTAAAATTCATGAGTAAACCAGGTTTATTTTTTTAACCTGAAAAATTTCGGGTTAAATTTCGGCTACAGATGCTTGAGGTTAAGATTGATTTAAGGCCAGAACTTTTTTTATTAGGAATTATAGAGGAAGACCTGGAAATAAATAAAGAAAAACTCCTAATTTACTTAATAACTGCGGCCAGAATCTGCTACATTATTTATTTGTTGTGTCAGGGCAACCAGTCAATTATATTACATTTCTAACAGAACAAAGCAAACAAACAGACAAAATACAAAATTTGAGAGTTTGGTAGTTGATTAAATGTCCTTTGACCAGTATCTGGCCACTTGGAGTGCTTCTGGTGTTGCTGCAAGAAGGTCCTCCATTGTGCATGTGGCAGGGCTCAGGTTGCATTGCAGCAGGTGGTCAGTGGTTTGCTCTTCTCCACACTCGCATGTCGTGGATTCCACTTCGTGGTCCCATTTCTTAAGGTTGGCTCTGCATCTCGTGGTGCCAGAGCGCAGTCTGTTCAGCGCTTTCCAAGTCGCCCAGTCTTCTGTGTGCCCAGGGGGGAGTCTCTCATTTGGTATCAGCCATTGATTGAAGTTCTGGGTTTAAGCCTGCCACTTTTGGACTCTTGCTTGCTTAGGTGTTCCAGCGAGTGTCTCTGTAGATCTTAGAAAACTATTTCTAGATTTAAGTCGTTGACGTGCTGGCTGATACCCAAACAGGGGATGAGCTGGAGATGTCTCTGCCTTGGTCCTTTCACTATTGGCTGCTACTTCCCGGCGGATGTCAGGTGGTGCAATACCGGCTAAGCAGTGTAATTTCTCCAGTGGTGTAGGGCGCAGACACCCTGTGATAATGCGGCATGTCTGCTACATGAGGCATTGGAGAACAAAGGAGATCCCCACACAAGAACAATGGCTTCTCAAGATAATAGATATTATGAATATGGATAGACTAACACAGTTGTTGAAGACGAACCAAAAGATGAAGATAATACAAACAGATTGGTACCTGGTAAGGAACTACTTAATCCAAAAAAACTATAAATGGATAATAAATACAGAATGATAACTTTAAAAAAAATGAATACAAAATTGGATCAGATGCAAAAGGGCTACCCACTTATCTGGAAAATTGACTCATGAGACTCTGAAGCCAAAGATGGAGAGAACTGGAAGCCAGCACCTTTCTCTACCATCCCTCCACTTCCCCATTTCCCACCCCCCTCCTACCTCCCCTATACCCATTTCCACACCCACTTCCATTCCCCCACCCCCAACCCAACCACACACACCCCCAACCGAGCCTCAATCACCATTTCCCCCATTCCCTATTCTTTTAAATACTACTTCTTTTTATTTTTCAACCCACCCCCCCCCCACTGTAAAAAATGCTCAATAATATATATATATAAATTTCACACACACAGGCCTGTGTGTGTGCAAGGCTGATGTGGCCTCCAAGACCAAGAAAATGAGTTTTGACACATAAGATGCAGTTCTCTGAAGCGGTTTTCCCAAAGCAAAGCAATCTATCTATCTATCTATCTATCTATCTATCTATCTATCTATATATATATATATATATATATATGCTCTGTGCATAATGAGTACCTTAAAAACAAAAGAACCAATGAACGAAATCACACCAAATTTGGCAACAAAACGTCTCACAACACAAGGAGTGACCATCACTCAAAAAATTATGATTTTGTCATTTGGGAGTTGTAGTTGCTGGGATTTATAGTTCACCTATAATCAAAGAGCATTCTGGACTCCACCAACGATGGAATTGAACCAAACTTGACACACAGAACTCTCATGAGCAACAGAAAATACTGGAAGGGTTTGGTGGGCATTAAACTTGAGTTTTGGAGTTTTGGTTCACCTACATCTAGTGAGCATTGTGGACTCAAACAATGATGGATCTGGACCAAACTTGGCACGAATACTCAATATGCCCAAATATAAACACAGATGGAGTTTGGGGGAAATAGACCTTTGACATTTTAGAGTTGTAGTTACTGGGATTTATAGTTCATCTACAATCAAGGAGCATTCAGAAACCCACCAACGATGGAATTGGGTCAAACATCCCACACAGAACTCCCATGACCAACAAAAAATACTGTTTTTTCTGATTTCTGACACCCTCACAACCCCCCCCCCGGGGTCCCAAACCCCAGGTTGAGAAATGCTGCCTTAAGGCCATCCAGTCCAACTCCCTTCACCAGGGCAAGAAAACATAATCAAAGCCCTCCTGACAAAGGGCCATCCTGCCATTCACACACACACATATATATCTTCAAGAAGGGAAAAAAGGATGACCCAAACAACTACCGTCCGGTCAGCCTCACGTCGATACCGGGCAAGATTCTGGAAAAGATTGTTAAGGAAGTGGTCTGCAAACACTTAGAAACAAATGCAGTCATCGCTAATAGTCAACATGGATTTATCAAAAACAAGTCATGCCAGACTAATCTGATCTCTTTCTTCGATAGAGCTACAAGCTGGGTAGATGCGGGGAATGCTGTGGATGTAGCGTACCTGGATTTCAGTAAGGCCTTCGACAAGGTCCCCATGACCTTCTGGCAAACAAACTAGTCCAGTGTGGGCTAGGCAAAACTACGGTGAGGTGGATCTGTAATTGGTTAAATGGACGAACCCAGAGGGTGCTCACCAATGCTTCCTCTTCATCCTGGAAAGAAGTGACGAGCGGAGTGCCGCAGGGTTCCGTCCTGGGCCCGGTCCTGTTCAACATCTTTATTAATGACTTAGATGAAGGGCTAGAAGGCATGATCATCAAGTTTGCAGACGACACCAAATTGGGAGGGATAGCCAATAGTCCAGAGGACAGGAGCAGAATTCAAAACAATCTTGACAGATTAGAGAGATGGGCCAAAACTAACAAAATGAAGTTCAACAGTGACAAATGCAAGATACTCCACTTTGGCAGAAAAAATGAATGCAAAGATACAGAATGGGGGATGCCTGGCTCGAGAGCAGTACGTGTGAAAAAGATCTTGGAGTCCTCGTGGACAACAAGTTAAACATGAGCCAACAATGTGATGTGGCGCCAAAAAAAGCCAATGGGATTTTGGCCTGCATCAATAGGAGCATAGTGTCTAGATCTAGGGAAGTAATGCTATCCCTCTATTCTGCTTTGGTTAGACCACACCTGGAATATTGTGTCCAATTCTGGGCACCACAATTCAAGAGAGATATTGACAAGCTGGAATGTGTCCAGAGGAGGGCGACTCAAATGATCAAGGGTCTGGAGAACAAGCCCTATGAGGAGCCGCTTAGGGAACTGGGCATGTTTAGCCTGAAGAAGAGAAGGCTGAGAGGAGATATGATAGCCATGTATAAATATGTGAGAGGAAGCCCAGGGAGGAGGGAGCAAGCTTGTTTTCTGCTTCCCTGGAGACTAGGACGCGGAACAATGGCTTCAAACTACAAGAGAGGAGATTCCATCTGAACATGAGGAAGAACTTCCTGACTGTGAGAGCCGTTCAGCAGTGGAACTCTCTGCCCCGGAGTGTGGTGGAGGCTCCTTCTTTGGAAGCTTTTAAGCAGAGGCTGGATGGCCATCTGTCAGGGGTGATTTGAATGCAATATTCTTGCTTCTTGGCAGGGGGTTGGACTGGATGGCCCATGAGGTCTCTTCCAACTCTTTGATTCTATGATTCTATGTATAGGACAGATGCAGTATCGAAGATTTGAAAGGGAAGGACGATATGTTCCATGTTCCAGAGTAGGCAAACCAACATCAACACTGGCAAAGAAACAGCAAGAAATACTGTTTACTCGCAAGCGGAAAGACATACATATATTAGAAACCAACACTTTCTCATTACTTTATTTTCCAGATCACCAAATTGGGCCATAGCAACGCATGGCAGGGGACCGCTAGTGCTTCATATTTTCTCGCATGTTTTGAGGTTTAATTCCATTCTAAGGCTGATCTCCCATTCAAGTACCATCTAGGACAGACCCAGCTTAACTAAGCTAAGAGGGGATCTCTTGCTAATCAGCAAAAGGGGAATCTCCTTTAAGATCCGCATACACGCCTAGCTCTACTGTCCTGCAAAATGAATCAAGGAAGACCTTCCGAGCATGCGCATTGTGCACCCCGCCCTTCATTCCAGAGACAGACGGCCGAGCTGGCGACGCTTCAGCTTCCGGGTTGAATCGGATGGGCGGTGATGGGGGCGGGGCTTCGGAGGGTTGGAATTTTGGCGGGTGATTGGGAGGAAGCGAGCAGATGGCGCCAAAGGAGGAGAGAGGAGGAGGAAGGTAAGAAGGCCCGGATAGAAAGGAAGGAAGAGAGAAAGAAAGGATCCCCATTACAGGATTGGAAAAGGATATCATCTGGGTTGCTCCAAAAAGGTGGGGTTCGGTTCTGGGGCTCTGATTTTGGGAGGAAAAAGGGACCACCAAAAAAAGAGGGAGAGACCAAATAATAACAACATTAATCATGATGATCCCCATAATTGTGTAATTAGTTATTTATTCCTTAATAAGTATTCATTATGGATATTGTGTAGATGTGTGTTCTTGTCTATATTTGTGTTTATATATGTGTATATGTATGTGTGCATGTGTATATTTGTATGTGTGTGTATATTTGTATGTGTTTGGGTATATATATATAGTAGTAGTAATTTTTATTGATTAGCCCTTAGGCCATATCACAATAAGAAATAGAACAACAAGGCCTGACAAGACCTTATCACACTCCACGTAGTAAGTTAAAATAAGACACTTATAACAATACAGTAAATAAATATGATAAGACATGATAAAACTGATAAACTGATCAATAGGGCTCTACGGGCCAATGGATACTCCACCTCAAACATTCTGGGTTTGAGACTGCCACTTTTGGACTCTCACTTTCTGAGGTGTTCCAGCGAGGGTCTCTGTAGATCTTAGAAAACTATTACTCCAATCAGCCCTACATATGTGGTTCTCAGACGTATTGTTTTGCTTAAGTACAGAGCTGTTTTATATGTTATTTTTGGGTCTTGGCCACATATAAAATATGTTGTTCTGATGTGAGATTCCCAATACATTGTCTGTTTGATATATGGACCAAGGTGGAAGTCTCTCACCTTTTGATACAATTTGCAATCAAATAATATGTGTGCTATATCCTCAATTTCAGGTGCCCCGCAGATACAACTCCTTTCATTATTATTATTTTTTTTTTGTCGTGTCAGGAGCAACCGCTCCTGTTGTGAGAGAATTGGCCGTCTGCAAGGACGTTGCCCAGGGGACGCCCGGATGATTTGATGTTTTATCATCCTTGTGGGAGGCTTCTCTCATGTCCCCGCATGAGGAGCTGGAGCTGATAGAGGGAGCTCATCCGCCTCTCCCGGATTCGAACCTGCGACCTGTCGGTCTTCAGTCCTGCCAGCACAGGAGTTTAACCCACTGCGCCACCGGGGGCTCCATTATAAGGGATGCTGTTAAATCTCCCATATCTAACCATTGTCTCGAGCTGATCAAATCTGGCTCGAGTGAATACCTCCCTGAGATGTTTTGGTATTTGCATTTTTAGGTAGTTAGCAGTTTGAAAGGTACGTTTATATTGACTCAGCCATTTTAGGTTAGCAGTCTTACTGAGGGTGGCTATATCTTTTTGTGCTTCTATATCCAAAATTCGTTGTATCGACCTCTTGGATTACACAACTGACAAATTATATAAGAAGTTGTGGGCTTCCTGTCTCCTGCGCCTCAAATGACCAAGTAAGAAAGGGTATATATATGTGTATGCGTATGTATGAATGTGTGTATGGTGTATTTTAGGGGGTTTTTAAGTCCGTTCTGCTGTGGGTATTTTTAAAAAAATATATTTTAGGGGTGTTGAACACTCGTTGGACTGTTAGGTGTATTGTGTCAAAATTTGGTGTCAATTCGTCCAGTGGTTTCTGAGTTATGTTAATCCCACAAACGAACATTACAGTTTTATTTATGTAGATGTATAATTAACATTTAATAAATATTATTATGATAATAGAAATAATATTTTGCTGTTATTACTTTCATATTCATTTTCTCAGGATTGAGGCCCAAAACAGCTTGCAACTTTAAAAAGTAATACATTTAAATACGATTAAAAATACACATACCTTGGAGTTTGTACCAGTTTCCCAATTTTGGACGTGAACTCATAAAAAAAGACTCTCTAGAAGTCAACAATTCTTTTGTGAAGTGTCTGCTGGTGCAGCTCATGACATGGATGGTAAGTTCTGTACGTATTGTTTAAAACATATTAATTATCCTGTTCCCTTTAACACTGTGCTTTTCCGGTACTATGCAAACTTATTTTCTGCTCCTGGAGCCAACAGAAGCAGAGATGGTTTTCAGATTTAGTATAATAGAATCTAGAGTTGGAAGAGTCCACATGGACTATCTAGTCCAACCTCCTGCCATGCAGGAAAAGCACAATCAAAGCACCCCCAACAGATGGCCATCTAGCCTCCATTCAAAAACTTCCAGGGAGCATTAATCACTATAGAAGTGGAGTGTTGTTCAGGTGGAGTTACTGTTATAACTTGGATAATTTGTACAATTTGTTAATTGAATTGCAGTATTTACCATTAAAAATGATAAGTTTCTAATTAAGAAAATGCAAGCTGTTGACAGTGATGTTTGTGATGAGCCACATAGAGCAGTTAACAGGAATCCAGATCAAGTAAAGAGTATATAAAACCTGTGTGTGTGTGTATGTATATATATAGTATGAAATGCTTATAATAAGCAGTCTTATTTTGGATTTTCAGTGGCACCTATCTCTTGCCAATAAGAAAAAAAAAGATGACATTCCAACTGAAATGTCATGCTTTTGTAAAAAGCCAACTGCATAGCCAGCTTCTGCTTATGGTTTAAATCTTTTGAATGCTCCCTTTTCCTCCTGTAATATAAACACATCATGTCTTCCACCAGAGGTTTTACATGACATGGAATTTTTGCGAATTATAATCTGGCCCGCCAACAGTTTGAGGGACTGTGACCTGGCCCTCTGTTCAAAAAGTTTGTGGACCCCTGTTTTAAACAGTTCAGATGGGATCCTGTCATCTCCTGCTGCCTTGTTGTTAGCGATGCTTCTTAAGGCCTTAATGCCTTAATGAATGTTATGGTACTCTAAATACAATTTAGATATCTTGTGTTTGGATTTGTTATAATATTGATCTGTGTTTTTTTTTCATTTCTTTCCAGACAGTGATAGCTTAGACCTGTTGGCCTCCCTCTTGGAGGAGAATGAGGCCACTGCAGAGCCTGTTTCCGGAGAGAAGAGCACAGATAATGTAGCCGTGGCAAGTGATCCTGATGATTATGACAAGCTCTTTGATGAAGAAGATGAAGAGTCCTACACTGAGGAGGTGGAGGGCGAGGAAGAGAAATCCAGTGGCCATGAAGAAAGTGTGGCTGAGTTGTTTGGAGATGTGGGAGACCTCTCAGAAGAGGAACAGGGGAAGGACACTGTGCCCGGAACACCTCTTTCCTCAGCTGGTGATCAAGCAAAGGAGGCCACCAATCAAGCCCTGCAAGGTTTCTTGAAATGTTGTTATATTTGTAATGGCTGTTCAAATACAAAGCTTTTATAGTAAGCATAACTAGCATTCCATTCCAAATGGCAGTAGTGCATGATTGATCCAGGCATTGCTGCCCTTGCTGTTCTCATGCTTCTTTAATACAATTTGATGCATTAAACAACTTGTGGTCATAGAATCAAAGAGTTGGAAGAGACCTCATGGGCCATCCAGTCCAACCCCCTGCCAAGAAGCAGGAATATTGCATTCAAATCACCCCTGACAGATGGCCATCCAGCCTCTGTTTAAAAGCTTCCAAAGAAGGAGCCTCCACCACACTCCGGGGCAGAGAGTTCCACTGCTGAACGGCTCTCACAGTCAGGAAGTTCTTCCTCATGTTCAGATGGAATCTCCTTTCTTCTAGTTTGAAGCCATTGTTTCGTGTCCTAGTCTCCAGGGAAGCAGAAAACAAGCTTGCTCCCTCCTCCCTGTTGCTTCCTCTCACATATTTATACATGGCTATCATATCTCCTCTCAGCCTTCTCGTCTTCAGCCTAAACGTGCCAAGCTCCTTAAGCCTCTCCTCATAGAGCTTGTTCTCCAGACCCTTGATCATTTTAGTCCCCCTCCTCTGGACACATTCCAGCTTGTCAATATCTCTCTTGAATTGTGGTGCCCAGAGTTGTCCATGAGTTGTATGCAGCCTTCAAGCCAATTTCAAAACCATGTGAAAATTATCAGGATCTTTACCATCCTTGATAACCTGTTGACAGAAAGGGAAGGAAGAGAGAAATGCGTGGCAAAAAGAGAAAAGAATACCTTATTTTGGGCCTGGCAACTTTTTTAATAATAATAAAACTTTATACCCCGCCACCATCTCCCCAAGGGACTCGGAGCGGCTTACATGAGGCCAAGCCCAACAACACAACAGTAAAAACAACAGGCAATAAGCAAATAAACAATTAATATAACTCACATATAGACAATAACACACAAAAATTTAAAAATTTATGGCCAGGCCAGATGTAATAGTTAAAATTTTAAAAATAAATGCTGGGCATGAACAGAGGTAGGATGTATCTAGTAGGAGGGTTTTAAACGAAATGTGCTTTTCAACTTCTAGCCTCCATGAAGCATTCTGTAGTCCCTGACAGAAAGAAAAATGTTCCTTGTCCCAGTTTAGGTTAGAAGAAGTGCTGGTCTGAAGCAGTGTAAAAAAAGTACAGTGTTCCTTCACTTATCATGGGTGTTATGTTTCAGGACCACCCACGATAAGTGAAAATCAGCAAAGTAGGGGCGCTCCTCTTTCTCCCTCCCCTCCTCCTTCCCCGCTTGCTCAGGGAAGGAAGGAAAGCAAGTAAGCCCTCCTCCTCCTTTTCCCCCTCCTTCTTCTCCGCGAGTCCACGGAAAGCAAACTACGAAGTAACAAGGGAACACTGTGTTATGTGATATTACTCTATATAACACAATTTTTGTTCCTGGGTTATAGATGTCCTATCCTAATTGGTTTTATCATAAAAACATGGGAAAAGTTTATTAAACTGCAAAAACATTGTTTTTGTGGGACATCCTGCAGCACATTTCGCTACAGTTTTTCAGTGAACTTCTTGCAGAGTCTCAACCAAATCCACATAGTTTGTGGCAGCCACAAAAACGAGGTTTTTGGAGTATAAAAACTACTTTCAAAGTAGGTACAGCACAAACAGGAGATTCCATCTGAACACGAGGAAGAACTTCCTGACTGTGAGAGCCATTCAGCAGTGGAACTCTCTGCCCGGAGTGTGGTGGAGGCTCCTTCTTTGGAAGCTTTTAAACAGAGGCTGAATGGCCATCTGTCAGGGGTGATTTGAATGCAATATTCCTGCTTCTTGGCAGGGGGTTGGACTGGATGGCCCATGAGGTCTCTTCCAACTCTTTGATTCTATGATTCTATGTCCGACAAAAATCTTCTCTAGGCATTTTCTAGGTCCACTACAGCAACTCTATGATAATTTTGTGCTGGAAGTCCTTCATTTTGGGTTTGGTTTTATCTGCCGTTTTCCTTATCCACATGAAGTCCTAGAATGTATCCCCCAGTGAAGACAGGGATTGTACTTGGTTGTGTTTGCTGACTTATAGCTGACAAAGTTTATCTGACCTTGTGCTTGTGTATGGTTTTATAATACGTAAAATTTATTCTTTTCCTTTCCTAGATGAGTTGAGAAAGTTGCAAGCTCAAATGAAGAAACTGCAGGAACAATTAGAAATGACCGCAATAGCACAACCAGTTAGTGCTGGCCCTAGCAGGAAATCTCCTGGTAATTAGGCACTCTGCCTTGTTAACTTCCAATTCCATGCTTCTACATATAACTTTTCCTTTCAAAATTGGATATTTATGGTGTACATCCAAATGGAAGAGTAGAAAAGCAAGAAAGCCAAAGGATTCAAAATGGAATATCTTGGCATCTTGCAATATAAATGTTACTTTTCAGATCATTTCCAAAACAAAGTAAGACATAGCACATATGGGGTGGAACTGTGTATAATGTTTTGTTTGAGTGCAAACACAGGAGTAGTTCTCAGACTATCTAATATGGGGGACAAGTAGCATTTAAAAAAAAACATATGCCAGAAATTGATACAAGAATGTGCATGATTTTAATTGATGTTTTAATGGCAACTGTTATTTTGTAATTGTATGTTGTCAGCATCAAATTGCTGAGTCATCTTCGGGTTTGTGTGTGTGTCAGGAGCAACTTGAGAAACTGCAAGTCGCTTCTGGTGTGAGAAAATTGGCAGTCTGCAAGGACATTGCCCAGGGGACACCCGGATGTTTGATGTTTTACCATCCTTGTGGGAGGCTTCTGTCTCTGGATGGCCCATGAGGTCTCTTCCAACTCTTTGATTTTATGTCCCCGAAAGGGGTGCTGGAGCTGACAGGGGGAGCTCAACCTGCTCTCCTTGGATTCAAACCACTGACCTGTCAATCAACAGTCCCAGCCCAAGGGTTTAACCCATTGCACCACCAGTGGCTCCTACCCTTCAGGGTGAGAAAGGCGGGGTACAAATGTGGGAAATAAATAAATAAATACTCTGCACATTGTCTTCAACTGTTTGAAGAGTGATCATATATCCCATTTCTGGCTGTTCCAACCTCAGTACCGTCCTCATGATGCACTTTCCCCCCGTTCTTAATTAAGGTCTAACCTCACTGGTCGTTCCTTATGAGCTTCTCCCTCAGAAAAATACTTTTCCACTACTATCTCATCCAGAGTTTTTTCATTTTTATCCTGTGCATTTGGCCCGCCCATTGTCTTCTATCACTTCATTATGTTATTTTGCAAATGTTTATTTTATTTTGTTACCTTGTGTATCTTATTTTGATGTAATTTTTTGTTTCTTTGTATTTTATTTTGATGTGTTTTATTTTAGGGCTTGCCTCATGTTACCGCCCCGAGTCCCCATTGGGGAGATAGTGGTGGGGCATAAATAAAGTTTTTATTTATTTATTTATTTACAGCTTTTATTCCGCCCTTCTCACCCCGCAGGGGACTCAGGGCGGATTACAGTGTACACATATATGGCAAACATTCAATGCCAATTTTTGACATACAAACATATACAGACATACACAGAGGCTATTTAACTTTTTCTGGCCGCCAGGGGAGCTGTCGCTTTCATTGTCCATCTGCGACGCTGATGAAGCACTTCCGCATTCCCCGCATGCTTCCCCGCTGGAATGCTTTGCTGGAGTCTTCTTTATGGCCTCATAAATCAGTTAATTTAGCCTCCCCACACTTTAAGGTGGTACCTTGTTTTCCTACTTGACAGATGCAACTGTCTTTCGGGTTGCAAAGGTCGACAACAGGCTACACACAATTGGTTGGAAACCCACTCCAACCCGGGCTGGCTTCGAACTCATGACCTTTGGTCAGAGTGATCTTAATGCAGCTGACACTCAGCCAGCTGCGCCACAATCCTGGTGCAAATATTATTTGAAATGCAACAAGATGAGTCCACAACAGACAAGATCACTCTACTGCAGTGGTTCTTAACCTGTGGGTCCCCAGATGTTTTGGACTTCAACTCCCAGAAATCCTAACAGCTGGTAAACTGGCTGGGATTTCTGGGAGTTGTGGGCCAAAATACCTGGGGACCCACAGGTTGAGAACCACTGCTCTACTGGCTGTTGTATTGGCTCACACATCGGACACTTCCCAAGTGTCTAGGACTGTGTGATGTATCGGCTAATAATGTGTGCAGATCCCATTATTATTATTATTATTATTATTATTATTATTATTATTATTATTTACTAGAAGGCAGGAGCCACTGGCTCTGATTGCCACTGGCTGTAGCACATTTCTAAGAACATATGCTTCCAAAATGTCATGTGAATGTTCAGTTGTGTTTAGAATGCCACTGTGTAAATGACTCTTTAATATGTAAAGGTTAAAGTGTATCTTTTAAATATTCTTTATTTTATTGATCAGTTCAATCACCTGCTGCCCTTATAAAGGAACAGAAGCCTCCACAACTTCAAGAATCACCTTGCTTTTCAGCCCAGCTCAGCAAGCCTTCTTTCCCATCCACCAAAACCCACAAGCCAACTTCCCTTTCTGGTATAGTAGTTAATTTCCTTTTATTTCAAGGGTAATATGCACTTCTGAAGAAAGTGTATATGGTATAAGAATTTCTTTCTTTAAAAAATAAAGCATGATATTTTATGATTTCTGGAAGAACAATGTCAAATGATTTTGATTGTTGTATCCCACCTTGAGCCATAAGTAGAGGCAGGTAACTGTAACAATTTGTATTGCTATTAGGAAAAAACTAAA